ATAATGTAGAACATTGTATAATAAAGCAAATAACATGAATATCAATAAATTAATAAATAATAAATATGAACACTTGTCTCAATGCCTTTTATGCCAAATTTTTAATTTTTTGATTAATTTTATTGAAGACGTCATTGAAAAGAAAACAACTAATGCTGTGTGTGTGTGTGTGTGTGTGTGTGTGTGTGAATAAACATAAAAAAGGAAAGTGGAGAAAAGGAAAAAATAAAAAGGGAAAGGAGGGGAGAGAAATGTATAAATAAGTAACTTCTCTCATCATCACAAGTATAAACAATTTTAATAATTTATCATCTCTTAAAAGTTACTAGAAATAATAATGTCGGTTTTAACTTCAATCAAATAAACCAACTTCCCTGTAACTTAACTACCTTGATTTTTAATCCCTTCAAATACTGTTTTAGAACTTGATTTCTTTTCATTTTTTCTGCATCCCTTCTACAAAATTCCTTCAAAATTTAACAATTCTCTCTTATAAATCTAGTGTAGAAAAGTTATTTCAGTTATTAGCTTGTTGTTTTTATATCTTTTCAAATTATTAACACTTCAGTTTCATTTGTATATCCAGTTTACCGTATACTTATAGCTTGTCATTTTTAAATCCACATTCAAATCAATTTCAATCTTGCTTCCTCTCTCTAATATTTATATACCATCAGTCCATAATAACAAGACATTCTTAAAATTCACAAGTACTTGTTCACAAGTACCGTGTTTTCCCCAAAATACGACCTGTCCTGAAACTAAAGCCTTGCCACATTTTTCGCGTGGGCAAAAATATAAGCCCACTCCCAAAAATAAGCCCCCTGGACAATCCTCCCCTCTGGCCAGGCAGAGTATCGCTTGCCGACCAAATGGTATCCAGAAAGTGCCAAGCCACGGGAACGAGGTGGGGGGCAAAGGCACTTGCGTTGCTTGGTGCTTGGCCGCTAGGTCGGTCAGCAGCACTGTGCCCAGCTGAAGAGGGGGGATTGCTGGGCAGCTGCTCTCTTGCGAGCGGGCTCCCGAAGAGCTGAGTAGAGCCTCAGGGTCAAATGGCTGTGTTGTGCTGTTGCAGCAGCAACACAGCAGCCATGAGGTGGCCACGGCCACACTTGCGAGCAGCCGCCCGGCAACCCCTCTTTCCAGCCAGGCACAGTGCGGCTAATCGATCTAGTGGTACCGGAAGGCACCAAGCAATGCGAGCGCCTGTTCACCGCCTTCCACCTCCTGCAGTCGGCACCTTCAGAATGCCCCTAGCTGAGTGAATGGGGCTCTGTATGGCTGGAGAGGGGGGTTGTGCGAACGGCTTTTCCACTCCCCGCTCGCGTGACTCGCAGGCTCACGATGCCCTTGGCTAACTGCAGAGCCAAGGAATCTCTGCTGCTGGCGCCGCCCGCCAGTTGGGGTTTTTTTTCGGCTCTCAAAGCATGGAGGATGGATGCCACTCTGGAAGAACACTCTATGGTTGTATGCTACCATAGTGCGTACTCCCAGAGTGGCATCTGTCCTCCATGCTTTGAAAGCCGGAAAAAAAAAACCAAGCGGCGGGTGCGTCAGCAGCGGAGATGCCCTGGGTCTGCAGAGTTAGCCAAGGGCATTGTGAGCCTGCGAATCGCGTGAGTGGGGAGCGGAAAAGCCGCTTGTGCAACCCCCCTCTCCAGTCGTGCAGAGCCCCATTGCTTGGTGCCTTCTGGGTACCACTAGATCGGTTAGCGGCGCTGTACCCAGCTGGAAAGGGGGGCTGCCGGGCAGCTGCTCGCAAGCATGGCCATCTCATGGCTGCTGTGTTGCTGCTGCGACAGCGCAACACAGCCATTCGACCCTGAGGCTGTGCCCGGCTCTTCGGGAGCCTGGTCGCAAGGGAGCAGCTGCACGGCAACCCAAAAACAATAAGACCTTCCCTTTAATAAGCCCAAGGCCATATTTCGTGGGTCAAAAAAATATAAGACCCTCTCGTATTTTCGGGGAAGCACGGTTCCTTGAAAATATCCAGTGTTAAAATATTTTGCTCCATTCTGAATTTAAAAGCTGACTTTAGGTATTCTTTTTTAATTGTAATGTTTAGTTTTTTCTAACTTCCTCTAGGGTTCAGCTTTCAAATTCCCATGTTTTTTGTCTTAAGGAATCCAAACAACAATTTCCCATGAGAAGGATTCTTATAATTAATTTCAAAAACTTATTTCAAATCCTTCTAGACCCTTAGTCTCTTTTTAACTTTCCAGAATCAGTGTTCTAAATACTTTTGCTGTTTATTCCATAAAGTAATTTTTTTTCTAAATTCTTAAACTTGTACTTGAAACAAATTTTGTTAATGAGAAAACTTACCCAGGGAACTTGGCCATTCTGAAAAAAAACAAAAGCAGTAAAAAAAATAATTCCAAAAGTGATTAAGAAATGAGGCCCAGCTAAGTATTATGCCCATATAGACGATATACAACTGTGAGCTTAGTTGGAATCACTTAACTCTCAGTTGCTCACATAAGCTGACCACTAAAATTTCGGTTCCTGTGGTCTACCGTGTTTCCCCAAAATTATGACATGTCCTGAAAATAAGGCCATGCCACATTTTTCGGGTGAGCAAAAATATAAGCCCTATCCTGAAAATAAGCCCCTGGACACCCCCCTCCAGCAGGCAGAGCGTCACTCACCAACTTAGTGGTATCCCGAAGGTGCCAAGCCGTGGGAACCAGGGGGGTAAAGGCGCTCGCATTGCTTGGCGCCTTCGGGATACCACTAGGTTGGTGAGCAGCGCTGTGCCGAACTGGAGAGGGGGGTTGCCAGGCAGCTGCTCTCTTGTGAGCGGGCTCCCAGAGCCGGGCACAGCCTCGGGCGAACGGCTGTGTTACATTGTCGCAGCAGTGCAACACAGCAGCCATGAAGTGACAACGCTCACAAGCAGCCTCCTGGCAAACCCCCTTTCCAGCTGGGCACAGCGCCATTCACTGGCATTTCCAGCCATGGGAGCCAGGCAGTGGCGAACAGACACTCATACAGCTTGGCAATATCCCTTGGTCAGTGAATGGCGCTCTGCCCGGCTGGAAAGGGGGTTTGCCGGGTGGCTGCTTGTGAGCGTGGTCACTTCATGGCTGCTGTGTTGAGCTGCTGCGACAGCGCAGCAGCCATTCGCCCCTGAGGCTGTGCCCGGCTCTTTGGGAGCCCGCTCACAAGAGAGCAGCCGCCCGGCAACCCAAAACAGTAAGCCCTCCCCGATAATAAGGCCCAAGCCATATTTTATGGGTAAAAAAGTAAGACCCTGTCTTATTTTCGGGGAAACTCGGTAGTCACAAGGAGCAGCTACGATGAGCTCGATCTATCTATCTCTCTTTATCTATCTATCTATCTATCTATCTATCTATCTATCTATCTATCTATCTATCTATTTTCATCCATCCATCCATCCATCCATGGCTACTGTTTCACCATGTCCTCACCAGACATCTATGCCAAATTAAATGCAAAATGCTCTCTTTGAATGTGACATACATTCCCATGCTGTTTCTTTTGTAAGTGCATTTACAATTGCTTATATTTTACAAAACGTTTGAAAATTTAAAATTAGGAATTATGTGCTTGGAATTGAAATTTGATTTGAAATATTTGTCCTATCTTTGAAAGCCGTGCTAGAATGGATGCTTAATTTCACATTTTATTTATAGCAAAACTATTTTTTCCCGAACTCCATTTCAGCTTCAGCAGTTAATACAGACATTGCAGATTCAACAACAAAAACCACAACCATCATTGCTTCAAGCACTAGATGCTGGTCTCGTTGTTCAGCTACAGGCTCTCACTGCTCAACTTACAGCCGCCGCCGCCGCAGCAAATACACTCAATCCACTAGAACAGAGTGTCTCTTTTAACAAGGTAGTTATTCATAAGATTTCTAAACAAAATATATTGATTAAAGTTATATTAAGTTCTCCACAGTGTAGAACCTTTTGTTTGATTCATTTCAGAGAATTTCTCTTTACAATATTAGATGGGAAGTACAGAGGGATTTCATTCACTAAATGAACCTAAGACCCTTAGTCATACTCATAGTTGTCTTTTTATCAAAGCCTATCTTATAATTTCTAATTTTAATAACACGTCATGTCTTTGGTGTACATATAGATAATTTACATCAATTACTGTGATCCCAATTAAGTATGCATAACATATTTTTGGTTTTTATATTTATGTAATTGTTTTAGATCTATGGTAATACATATAAGCAAGACATAAAGTATTGTTTTAGAAAGATTTTTTTGTACATTAGTGTCATAGTGTTATAGTTTATTCATTACAGTTAATATATAAGTATATCTAAAACATCAAAATATATCTATTAGAAATATTTGATTTCAAATAATGACTTTCTTGTTCAACAATACCTTTTTAATGCATAATTCGTTTGTTCCTAGAAGCTGATAGATAGGTTTGGAGATTTTGGAGAAGAAGCTGATTTGAATGAAGAGTCCAAAAAGGAAACTCCAACTTCTCAATTGTAAGTCTTAATTTGTGATTGTACGCATTTCATTTTATATTTTAATTTGAACTTATTTGCAAAGTAAACCTGCAGTTAAGTCCAATTTTTCTGATTTTAATTGCTTTCCTAATCAAGAGGCTTTTCACATATGCAAAATGTTTTTGGAGTATTTGTGACATTAACTGGTGAAGGAGAAGAAGTTATGGAAATTATTATTTTTTAAATGCTTTGCTTTTTTTAAAAAAATCCAGACAGTCCAAATGTCCCCTACTTGAGATTTCCAGTACGTTTCAACCTTACTAAAATATTCTTGTCAATCGTTTTTTTACATCTGAGAAAGAGGGAAGAAGGAAGAGAAGAGTTGTTAAGGATAAACCATAATTTCTTAACTCAGCAGTTGGGTTTATTTAAGATATTAATTTATAAGTTGTTGTTTAAAAGTCATAGTGTTGGGTTCTCCCTACCACATAAAGTGCAATATGACCTACAACAATACTGGAATCCCATTATAAGCCCATTAGATCAAGCTAGTCTTCTTGTCCCTTCCTATTCTCACCACATTTTGAGAAAACATCAAATTCTGGTTCTACAAAGTTCTGTTATATTCTTTAAATAATGAATTCTGAATGTGTTTATACAGTTAATGTAAACAATAGGGTAACTGTAATAAATTATTTATTTTAGGCCCCTTGTATCTGAATCCGTGAACAACTCACTTTTTCATCAGCTAGCTGAACAACTACAGCAACAAAACTTAGAACATCTTCGGCAGCAGCTTCTAGATCAGCAGCCACCAAAGGTATATTATTTTTCTTACTTTTGAAAATATTGCATATTTTAAAAAATTCTAAACTAACCATATGGCTTTAGGTTTATAACTTTTTGAAACAACATGTTATTTACTTTAGAAATTCAAAAAAAGTATATTTGTTTTGCCCTCTTGAATTTCCCTCAGCATTAGCTTCCTTTTCCTTCTCCCTCCCCCCCTTTTTTTGTTCAGTATAACAATTGCTTATAAGTCACTTGTTTATATTTGCATTTTAACTTCTATTCCTAACAGTCTATTTCAACTTAGGATCTCTGTAGTTTCAGGGCTATGGTTTGAAATAAAGGACTGAATTTTGCAGTCTTGTTTCATTTGTTTGCTTGTTTGTTAATATTATCCAAAATTCCAAACATATTCCATAATACAAATTATGTACTAGTTACTGGTTATTAACACTTGTATTGAGTTATAAAGTATTATAAAATAAAAAATGCAAAGTAAATAGAAAAGCAGTGTGGGGGAGAAGGGAAAGAGAAGTGTGGTAAGATAAGAAAAAGAAAAGCAAGCATTGACTTTTGAGACTCTCTGTTACAGTAAAATAACATCAAATCACAAGTTTTTGCTTTTTCATAATAATATGAACAAGCCATTTCTATAAAGATCTACCAGTCTAATCAGTAAAACCCAAATTCAGAGTTTCATTCTTTTCCACGTCACGTACGAAGTTCAGAAGTGGTCTCCATGTGGAAACAAAAGTACTTACCGTATTTTTCAGAGTATAAGACCCACTCCACGCCCAAAAGAGGGTGAAAATTTGGGTGCATCTTATACACCGAATGTAGCCCCGCCCACCCGCTAGCCCTCACCCTTCAGCCTCCACGCATGGCATTTTAGACCTGTTCCAAGCTGCAGGGATTGCCACTCCATGGCTTGTGTTTTTGGCCTTTGCACCTTGAGTTTTCAGCCTCCGAACACTCTGTTTGAGACCCATTCAAGGCTGCAGAGATTGCCAGAGCACAATCATTTGTCGTGTTTTCAGGCAGCGATCGGTGGTGATGTGCTTTAGCGATCTCCGCAGCCTTGAACTGGTCTCAAACTGAGCGTTCGGAGGCTGAAAATGTGAGGCACAGAGGCCAAAATGGCAACCCGGAACAGCTGCTGCCTTGTCTGACCAGTTCCTCACTTCGCCTCCTGTGTTTTTGAAGCTGCATATCAGCCCCAAAGAGGTCACAACCAGCGAACATGTTGCTAAAGTTCACCTGTGGGAACAGCTGATTGGGAGTATTCCAGGAGGCCAATCCACCCACCAGTCAGCTGCTCATGCTGAATCATGCTAATGTGCTGAAGCTGATCAGGCTGTTTGCTAAGGACGCTAGCCAGATGAATAGCGATGGATGCTGGTAGGCAGAGGCAGATTTTTTTTTCTTATTTTCCTCCTCAAAAACTAAGGCATGTCTTATACTCCAAAAATATGGTATGTTCTTTTCTTTAATCAAAATAGTCATTTTTGCCATTTTAGCAACTCCATCAACTTCTGCAACCATTCGTCCATAGTAGGAATCGAAGTGGCATTCCATTTTTGTGCATACAATAGTCTTGCTGTTGTCAACATATATAATAACAAAGTTCTAATTTTTTTCCAGTTCTTTTTCTATTAAGCCCAAAAGGAAAGGTTCTGGTTTCATTTTTATCTTCATTTTCAAAATTTTCTGTATAAAAAATTAATCATACTCCAATTTTTTTTTACTTTATCACATGTCCACCATAGATGATTACAAATTCCCTTTTTACTTTTATACTTCCAACATTCATTTGACATGCCTTTATACATTTTAGATAACTTATCTGGTGTTAAATACCAACAGTACATCATCTTATAGAAAAAAATATGTACTAGTTATTGAAACCCAGGGAGAGAGGTAGAGAGACAGACAGACAGATAGACGTTGCAGAGTTTGATGCTAAAAAAATAATGTAAATATTCTTCACTGCAGGTAAGCCCTGAGGAAACTCAAGAAGAAAATTTTGGTTCTGAGCATTCAGCATCACCTTCACAAGACAGCAGTCACCAACAGTTTTTAGAAGTGGAAACAAAGCTTGACAATTCAATGGATGTTCAACAACAGGTAAACTTTAGTATTTCTATTTAAATTATGAATTTAGGAGATCACAAAATTGTAAGATAAACACTATATACTATCTATAATCTCATGTGTGCCTATTTACTGGGAATGTAAATGTAAATGATTAACATTAGTTTTGATGCCATAATATAATCCGTTGAGGAGCAGGATGCTCTGTCCATGAGCACAATAAGGACACATCAAGATACATTGAGTAAGATTTTCTTAGACCAGTGTTTCAGCCAAGTGCCAAAATGAGAGTGTGTGTACAAACGTGTTGGAAACTGGAAAAGCAGCCGCCCAGTGTGCATGCATGCACCGGGAGATGATCTTCCGATTTCCGGCACACTCGTGCACCGGCCACCTGGTTTCTGGTGCACTGGCCGGTGTGCATGCGTGCCGGAAATCAGAAAACCATCTTCCCAGCCTATGCAAGTGCACTAGGCAGCTGCTGTTCTGGTGCTCCTGTGTTTGTGAAGACCAGCTGCCCAGCATGCTGGAACCTGGAAGAGCAACAGGCGATGGCTCGCGTGCCTGGAGAGATGGCTCTGCATGCCACAGGTTCGCCATCATGGTCCTAGACTCTAGAGCAGGGGTGTCAAACTCGTATTGTCACGTGACGTATTGGGACTTTTTTTCCCCTTCACTAAACCGGGTACAGGCATGGCCAACCTCCATAAACAAATGTAGATAAGAATGAATATATTGGCATCTCATTTCTTCCCTATTCTTCCCTATTTTTAGGACATGGATATAGATGAAGTCCAGGAAGTTGTAGAACAAGAAGTCTTTGAGCAAGAAGAAAAGAAACCAGCAGTTCTTTCAAGATCACGAACACGCTCAAGATCACGTTCGAGGTTTTTGTAACTTTATTACAAAGATACTTGTCTTCATGCTTAAAACCCATATTTTGTTTTTGTTATGAAAGTTATGTTTTACATTAACATAATTTAACTAACTATTTTACAGGTCACCAAGAAAAAGAAGGTCAAGATCACGGTCTGGTTCTCGAAAGCGTAAACACCGAAAGCGCTCACGTTCTAGATCAAGAGAAAGAAAAAGGAAGTCATCAAGGTCATATTCAAGTGAAAGAAGAGCTAGAGAAAGGGAAAAAGAAAGACAGAAAAAAGGGTTACCTCCTGTCCGATCAAAAACACTAAGTGGTATGTATTATCTGGTTTATTTGATTATTTGTATGGGTATTTTCTAAAATGTTTGTAGTACATTTTCATTCTGGTCTGAGATTCTAAATGACTGTATTTCCTTTTATTAAAATTACATTACCACTCCTTAAATAGTTTTTTGGGGTAAATTTCAGCATAATCCATGGCAAAATAGTTTTACTTTTTGGGATAACACTCTCTAAAATGTATGAACCAGGGAGAAACTGGAGAAGCAGAATTATTACTACTGACTATTATTATTAACCTTACAAGATCCTGACCCACAAAGATCCGTGCCACAAAAGATATATAATTCTGTAGAAAGATGAGCACTATGCTAAATAGTACTGTTAAATATAGTGAGACTTCCTGGGTTTCAGGGTCAACTTAGAATTAAGAACTGCTTTCTATTTCTTGGACTTAGCTTCTCCTATGTGATATTTATTGTGGAAGAAATATTATTAAATTAATTTTATTTTTTCTGTAATTAGTTACTTCCCATTTCTATCCATTTTGTTAGTTTGTCTGCACAGAATATTTTAGTAATATATGCATGGTATAAAACATTTGTGCAAGATTTGATATAAATATGTTTTTATTATAATCAATAAATTGGGTGTATTGTTAAGATACATTTAACTAATGTTAATGAAAGCATTTTTAAAACATTTCTTAAGAATATATCGCAAGAAGCTAAATAAGTTGCTCATAAATATTCAGTGATATGACCACTATAGCTTTCCATATTATTATAAATAATTTTTACTGGATTTTTTTTCTGTAATGTGGGGACGGGAATTGTATTCTTCTCTCCTTAACTTCTTGTAGGAGCTTCAATAAAAATTTTGAAGGTAAAAAAATGGTTTCTAAGAGGAAGGAAGAACTAAAGATTACTACTACTACTTTTCATGGCATCACCTGCTATTTCAAACATACTTTTGTTCAGTATTGATTTTGATTTCTTTGTTAATCACTGCATTAATAGTAACCAGATCTATAATATTTCTGTATTCTCCCCATGTCTCTGCTTTTTATGTGTATTAAAGTATTCCTAGTTATATGCAGCTTTCATAAAAAGTTAGTGTTTCAGGATTTTGTTAGCATTTTCCGTTTCCACTTCTTTAAATTAAATAATTGTATTGATTTCTACATATAGGCAAGTGGTAAATTGTTTCAGCTTGTCTTTCCCTCTGTGACAATAAAAGATTGTAGTGATGATAAATGACAAATGATATGAATAAAATATAAACCTATGCCATTATAATTTGTTGCGGCAGTCTGCAGTACCACGCTTTGGGTTGGGCAAGTGGACAAGAAAGCCACACAGCAAGATTTAACCAATTTATTTGAAGAATTTGGACAAATAGAATCTATAAATGTAAGTAAAGTAATCTGTAATTTATAAATAGAATGGTAATTTTGAGTTTTCATAAAAAATATTTTTCATAAGAGGAAGTTTTATATGATTTATTTTAAAAGAAAAGTATTTAGAGGTTCTGGGGCTGGATGCAGAGAAATATAAATTTTGTTCACACAATAAGATATTTTTTCTTTCTCCATTTGTGCTTCTTAAAATATTTCTCATGAATTTCAGGAGATCATTTAGAATGGCATGGAGTATAACAAAAGAAATTGAGGGATTGCTAATATTTATTACTGCAAAAGGTTTTCTGAAACTCAGTTATTATTTTTTGTTTTAATTTTATTTGTTCCCTTGTTTTGTTTTTATTTTATAGATGATCCCTCCCAGAGGTTGTGCATATGTCTGTATGGTTCATAGGCAAGATGCTTATCGTGCTCTTCAGAAACTAAGTTCTGGATCCTACAAAATTGGATCTAAAATTATTAAGGTACACATTCAATGGTCCTGCTTATATGCAGTATGAATTATAATTATTATCATAATCGTGTGGTTTTTGTATATAATGAAGGAAATCCACTGTGTTAGTGCTTAAGTTTTTGGACTAGAACTGGGGACAGCAAGATTCAAATCCATCCTGAGCCATAGAAACTCACTGGTAGACTTGAGCAAGTCAGTGTGTTTCTCAGCCTATTCTCCATCTTGGTGGAGATAGCTTCCAGGAATGAGTTGACCTCGTCTGCTTGCTGATTGCACTGAATCTGTCAGAACTGTTAGGACACACCACTGTTGCTAGGGCTTCCCAGCTTTTGACTCAGTCCCTCAGCGTTGACAAACATGTCAAACCTCCAATTATATTCCTGGAATAATGAGGATATAGTATATTAACAAGAAATTGCACTATTCAATTTTGTGAGTACTACCAGCTGACTCCCTCTCCCAGTTAGAGTTCATATGGTTATTATAATAATACGTTGATCAGTTTGCAAGAATAACAAGAGCAATACCACTTAGAAATATATACAGCCCTCTCTAAGTGGTTTACAGTCAGCATATTGCCCCCAACAATTTGGGTTCTCATTTTACCGACCTCAGAAGATGGAAGGCTGGGTCAACCTTGAGCCTGGTGAGATTTGAACTGCCAAATTGCAGTCAGAAGAAGCAGCCTGCAGTACTACATTCTAACCACTGTGCCACCATGTCTTATGGTGGAACATAAATCCAAACAATGAGTGCTAAGAAAGCCTAGGAGTTTCATGAAGATCTGCATACATAGGTGGCCATGATTTAGATCTAATTTTTGCTTTGGAGTAATTATCTTATGATCTGGATGATATGGAAGGTATTACAATTGCTCCTTTGTCATAATTAAATCAGCAACCTGTGTTATCCATAGGGTCAGGTCCATTTGACTTGTCTGCTAGATCGGTGAATCCATCAATAAACTGTCTATTTCACCACTTGCAAGAAGTAACTCAGACTCTTGTTCCTGAATGGCCTCATTCCACTGGCTAATCCAGGCAGCCTCTTGGGCTTTAGTGGAAGATGAAGCAGCGGGAACGATGCCTGGAGCATAGGTGACAGATGAATAGGGAAACTAACAAAGCACAGCTAACTGTCCAGGTTCTAGCATTTCTACATTTCTCTCTCTTAAGGGATTGTGGCAGGAAACAAATATAATAAGTTTCTGTATAGATTTTTATGTCTATGTGTATATTTTAATATTTCTACTATTGGAAAAAAATGCTTCTAGGAAATAATTCATCGGAAGAATGCATTTTTAATTACTCTAATTAAGAGGAGATGTTATCCAAAAATAGAAAAGGAACAATTTAAAATGAATTCAAAATATTTATTGTCTGATTATTAGAAGGGAAAAAACTGTCCTCTAAAATAGTAAAACATAACTAGAAATTTTGGATAAACAGTAAGGCTGAGATTGGGAAGAATAATGTCCAAATTCTTTGGGAGTGAAAACTTAAAATTCTTTACTGGTGCATTTACGGCAGAAAAAGCTGACATATCGAAATAATTTAAGACAAGCATGGGGAAGATTCTTTATAGATCAACAGATTGGTCTATGTTTTTCTGTGCTATGTAACTTTGATATCTCCTTTCTTATAAAAAGGAAATTTCATGATGAGGAATTCATCTTTTAATGTCAAATAAAAGATATTATTACAATGTATTTGTACACTGCATTTTCCTGTTCTGCAAGTATGTTCTGTTCAGCAAATGAATTGTCGATCAGGCTGTATAAAAATAAACAACGCTATGATGCGTTGTAGAGATTATTGTACTTTTGTTTCCACCACAACTGAATTTGCTTTATTTTCAGATTGCATGGGCTTTAAACAAAGGGGTGAAAACTGAATACAAACAGTTTTGGGATGCAGATCTTGGAGTATCATATATACCCTGGGAAAAAGTTAAGATGGATGATTTAGATGGCTTTGCAGAAGGAGGCATGATTGACCAGGAAACAGTAAATAGTGGTAAGAACAATTTAAAATTCTTTGTAATTAAAACTTTATTTTTGTCTTTTCATATTTTGTTCCAGAGAAACGTGTTTCCAATAATCCAAATATGCACTACAAGTGTTGTTCCTCTCAGGCTATTTAAGAATTAGGTTGACTACTTGATTGGCAATCAAGCTGAATCACAGTTCCACTTTGTGACCTCTGTAGAAAATTTCTGTCTAACTGGGATAAATGCTAGTTTCCAAATGAAATTTACTTGCTTATTATTTATTTAAATAAATAAACTTGTTTGCTTATTTATTTAGTAAGTAATCTAATTTACTAATTATTTAGTTTCCAAAGGAAATTAATTAATTAATTAATTAAATAATACTTCATAATATGTAAGATTTAGTGTAGATATATCCTTAGTCCAAAATTTTAGAGAATTTGTAAATAGGAGAAATTAATTGCTACTTACAAAATAATGCTTTGTCAAAAACTGCGGTTTGGTTTGGCTTGGCTTGGCTTGACTTAATTTGATACACAGAAAGAAACAAGAAAAACATACAAAGAAAAGAAACAAGAAAAACATATAACATATCTAAATCTCTCAAAAGATGTGATTTTGATTCAAATATTGTACATGTCTAATAATACATATTTTTTAAAAATGTAGTTTTTAAATAGTGTTAAACTTTGACTATATACCGATCAGTCTTTCTATCACACTCTTAGAAACAGAGCAAACATTAATCCAAGATTATTATTTTTTAAAACATATTTTTCAATCTCCATTTATTGTGAGAAGGTAGGTATCGTAGCTAGTAGAGAAATGCTTATTATCTTCTAATGTGTTTTTTAAAACACTGGTCTGTTACTGTTTTGTGTAGAATGGGAAAGTACAAGGACTTCAGAAACTGTAAAAGAGAATGTACAGATAACCCCGAGTGCAACCGTTGAGAAAACCACAGTTGTCACAACACAGACAGAAACTTACACACAGTCTGTCGCTATGTTACAGGTTAGTATTATATTTCATTTTCTTACCACACTTTTCTTCCAGTAGTGAAGAATATTCAGATTATTGATTAGATTGACAACTCTACTTTTGTATTAGATGCATATCATATCTTCTTGTATCTTCTCAGTGAGTCTGATATTTGCAATTTGTTGAGACATATTTTTTCCTTTTATTGTGAAAAAACTCTGTGAAGTTAAGCATGCACAAGACAGAAAATGCATTGATTTCACACATAGAACAAAGAACTCCACTCAGACATTTCAGGAACACGCCATGTTGGTTGCTTCCTAAGGAGGTTCCCAAAATGTATGTAGTAAAAAATAATCTCAACAAGAAAAAGTAAGAGGGAGAAAACTCTGGGAAATATACCATGGCAAGTTGCCTAAAAAAAAAAAAGTTACGATTTTCTTCTTGTATATAGTAAATCACTCTGTGAAGGAGATGAACAGTTTAAAAATGTGATAATTTTTTTTAAAAAAATCTTTAAATTCATCCAGAGTTATTTTGGGAATTAACTGGCAAGTGTTCAATTTCACTGATGAGAGAGAGAATTTGGAAATAAAATGAAGAGTAGTTATGTGGATTTTCTAGAAGCTCACTTGTTGGGCAACTATTAAAAGACTGAATCTGAATTTAAAGAGACAGAACTACTTTTACATGACAGAAGTAATATTACATTGTCCTTCCTACGTGCTTTTCTGTGATAACTTGCGAGCTATAAAATGTTGTTCTCATAACCATGTATGGATTTAAGATCAACAGAAATATTTTCCCATTATAACAGATGCCTGTAGCTCCAACTGTGCCAGCTGTTAATTTAGTTCCACCTGCGTTTCCTGTTACAATGTCTGTCCCTCCACCTGGTTACAGTGGAATTCCTCCGCCTCCATTCTTGAGAGCAAGCTTTAATCCTTCACAACCACCTCCTGGTAAAATTATCTTTCCATTCTATAATAGATATCAAAATGTATTGGCATTGTTATTTATTTTCCTTACGTTTACATTTGCTGAAAATTTTGCATAATTAGCCAGAAATGCTCTGGTCCCCTCTTTGCAAAGCAGCGTCCAATCTTGTGAATAGGGATTTGGATTCAATGGCTTAAGAAATCCCTTTCAGCTTTATGAATCTATGACTCTCCTTAATTTTAAAATATTAATTTAATCTGTAATCATCTATTTGCATAGTGAAGTGGCAATGTTTAATTCAGTGGATCTTATTTCCATATATATCTGTAAATATGCATTTAATTACAATACTTTCTTGAATTAGATAATATATGCTTGAACATATTTATAATTCAGTTAAGTTTTTCTATTTTTCATAAACTTTAATAGATTTGTCTATTAATATTTATTCTTTGTTTCTTCTAGGTTTCATGCCTCCACCTGTTCCACCACCTGTTCCACCACCAGTAGTTCCAACATGTAAGCTGTTTTAACTTTTGTTTACAGAATTCCAATAAAACTGTCACAGTTGAAAAAAACCATTGGTTGAATTGACTAACATTGGATTTATTTTTATAAATAACATTATATAGTTTAGAACTGAATTCCTGCTACTCTTAAATAAGTGGACAGGTTTACCTGTATTATATAGGATGGCACCTGTACAGGCATTATCACGAACTGTATATAAACAGTCCTGTCCTGTATGAGATGTTTTCCAACAAGACTTCCAATTTGTGTTAGGGTTAGGATTAGAATAGAGAAAATAGGAATCCAGTATTTAAGATTTTTTCATGTAGATAACATTTCTTTGTACAGGAAGTCATTGACTCACAATTACAGTTTGGATTGTAACTTCTATCACAAAGCAATACAGTCATTAAGTGAGTTGTTACAACCAGTTGTCAAGCGCCCTGGGATCATGTGATTGCCATTAGCAATATTCTATGTTGCTTTATCCAGAAAGTCTGCCACTGCCTTCTGAGAGGGCTCGCAATCTCTGAAAGAGCTGCTCGCTAAGGGGAGCTGTCATCTTTTCATGGGATGCAGAAAAAGAAGCTTAAATCATGAAGATCTAAGCTCTGTTTCTGCACCCTTTGCAGATGTCAGCTCTTCTTCATGCATGGAAGGGAATTCATCTGGTATGATGTGGAAAAGAAGCTCACGACGATCTAAACCTTGTTTCTGCACTCCTATAGTAGGACTTACATCTTGAAGTCTTTGCGCTTGCATAATGTCAACTTAATAGTACTTGTGTTTAAAATCACAGTAGTGCTTCCTACAGAGAGGTTTTGGCATTTCTGCCTGTAAAAGGAAATAACCAGAGTATCATCTACCTATTCTATGAACTCTGAACTTAATTCTTTCTTAAAACAACAGTTAATATCAGGCAGAATTGCAGAACAAGGTTGACTCAGCCTTCCATCCTTCCAAGATGGGTAAAATGAGAACCCAAATTGTTGGGGGCAGTATGCTAATTTTGTAAACCACTTAGAGAAGGCACATAACCAAACTATTTTCTGTTTGATTCCAAGAGGCTCATGCTGCCCTATCTGTATTAACTGCCCCAAATTAATAGGTAATAGATTGTATTTATTGTTATTGATGAGTAATAATTAGAATTTTTTAAAATTATAATCCAACTGTATAATTTTGATGGGTTTTCTAATAACATTCTTCACTCGGATGTTTTAAAGATTATATTTTTAACTTATTTGTGATTACTTTTTTATTCAGCAAGTTTCAGAGTTTCAGAAGTTTCAGAGTTTGATTAACATACTAGCGGATTCTTTTAGAAAGACATACATAGATTTGCACAAGCATTAATTGCATATGTATTGATTTACAGCTCTTGTACAACCGTCGCTGACTATTGCTCAAGAATCAATGAAAGATTTTAGCAGCCTTGTTCTACCAGGTGGTACTGTTTCTAATAGTCTTACAACACCAACATTATCTGCCGGAAGTGTCTTTTCTTCTCTTTCAAAGAACAGTTCAGAATTAGATGAAAAAGGATCTTTTCGTGCTGACCTTCAGACCTCTTCTACCGAAAACAGAACTGGTAAATAGCATTATAAAACCTTTTGGGAGAGTTATATGTGTGCTTGCATGTGCGCGCGTGTGTGTGTGTGTGTGTGTGTGTGTGTGTATGTATATATGTATGTGTGTGTGTGTATATATGTATATATGTATATATGTACATGGACAAATGCATATGCAAAGACACACACACATATGTTTGCATAGTGTAGGAATGTCATAACTTTCAAGAATTCTAGTCCTGTATCAGATGTCACCTCTGAGAGAGTATTGAACTTAACCTGTTGTTTTTAAGAGCTAAAGACAGACTGACTGACTGACTAGAAGAATAGCAAATACAATCAGCATAACAAGTTGTTTATTAGCCCAGTTTCAATATAATTTATGTTTTTTTCCAGCAGTGGTCTGTTTTCAATAAGATCTGTTATTAACTCATCACTATATTGCCATAATACTTTTTTGTTCATTTAATCTGAATTATATTAATATTAATATCATACAAATAATTAAAACGCTTTAAACATATTTTTAAATAGTTTCTATTTACTCAAACATACAAGACGATAGGAAAATGATATGCCAAATTCTAGTTCTTTTTTTAGTTCCCTATAGTTTTCTAGATAAAATATTTAAAAGCTTACAATTTTTCTAAACATTTATTTTATAAGCTATTCTTCAGTAAGAAATACTGTTTACTTTTCCTTAAATAGATATTGTTGCAGATTATAATGCGAAACCAACCAGTAGATGTTGAATTTAGTTTAATCTGACTATAATTAAACTATTAAAGTATTAGTTAGGCATGTTGTTTCAATTCTCTGATTTAAATTTTTGTATTTTAGTTCAAGATGACGTTTCAAGCAGTTCTGGACTTACCGAGGGAGTACAGCCACCTGGTATCACAACCAGTTCTGGGCATGTAGGGGGAATCCAGCCACCCCATGTCTCAAGTAGTGCTGGACTTGTGCAGCCGGTCAGTGTCTCCAGCAGTTCTGGACTTTTGACAAGAATTCAACCACCCACGGCTTCAAATAGCTCTGGTCTTACAACAGGTGTTCAGGCTCCAAGTATCTCAAGTAGCTCTGGGCTTTTGACGGGACTTCAGCCCATAAATGTTTCAAGCAGCTCCAGCCTTTTAATGGGAATGCAACCACCCATAGTCTCAAATAATACTGGACGTTTGTCAGGAATCCAGCCATCCATTGTATCAAGTAGTTCTGGGCTTTTGACAGCACTCCAGCCACCCATTGTATCAAGCAATTCTGCAATTTTAGGATTGCCACCACCAATAGTTTCAAGTAGTTCTGGACTGTTGGGATTACCACCGCCAAATATTTCAGGTGGTTCTGGCCTGTTGGGACTACAACCACCCACTGGAATTCAAAATTTACCCCATTTAACTATGGGTAGTCAACGGTTGCATGGAATTCCTCTAGTAGAAATGCGATCGGGATTAATGCCACAGCCACCTGGTCCTAGGTTTCCACTACTGCAACCTGGGATGCCACCCCAACGTACAGTTCCTCCTCCAGCCATACTTGATCCATCCCTTCCTCCACCTAGAGTTCCTTTCCTTCCAGGAGATATTTTTGCTCAAACAGAGAGGTCATTTGCAACTTCCAGTAGGCAAAATATGGATATTTCTAACCCAGATAAAAGATTGCCTATTGGGGAAGATAGCATTCAACAAGAAGGAGATAGAGACTATCGATTCCCTCCAGTGGAAAGTAGAGATCGAACATCTTCAGTAGATATCAGGGATTCTATTGGAAGGCCACCACTAGATCCAAGAGAAGGTCTAGGTCGACCACCTATAGATGGAAGAGAACATCTTATCAGGCCACATATAGATTTACGGGAGAACTTTGGAAGGCCAGGTATCGATAATTTAAGAAGAGAGCATTTTGCTTTCAACTCAGAAAAACATTGGGGTCAAAGAGGAGATTATGATGAAAGAGAACACCAGAACTTTCCTATATATGGTGGTCTCAAGGGGTTCCAGGACTTTCGAGAGAGATATCGCCAAACAAACTACAGATTTGAAACTCGAAGTGGTCCTACCTGGAACAGAGGACTTGAACAAGATGCTCACAGAGACTTTGATGACCGTCGTAGACCATGGGAAAGACAAAGGGACAGGGATGATAGAGATTTTAATTTTGGTAGAGAAATTAATGGAAACAGATTTGGGAGAGAGAGAACACAGAACAACTGGATACCCCCTCCACATCCAAGAGCGTTTGAATATTTTGAAGGTGGTGCTTCTCAACAAAAAGTTGATAGTGTACCCCAAGTTAACGGTGAAAACCCAGAGACAGAGAATCAGCCATCTGCTGTGCAAGTGCAGGATGAATTGGAACTTTATGAAAAGTTGGCGACTTCAAATGAGACAAAAAAAGAGAAGAGTGACACAGAAGCTGAATTAGAAAATGAACCAGTGGTAGAAAGCACAGAAACTGAGGGGACATAATCATCACTCAGTAGGTAAAAAGATACCTTTTGTAAAGTTGTCATCTCTCTCTGTAATAGATGAATGGCTGACTGGACCTTAGTAGTTCATTTTTTTCTTCCAGAATTAAGTTAATCTAATATTCATGTTCATCTTTCACTTAAATAGTTGTACAACTGACCTGTATAGAATATTGTTTTTAATTTGAACATGGTAGGTAAAGTTTGTCTTTCTTTTTTCGGTTTTTTTTCCTGGCAAAATGCAAACTTTCCCCACTTGTTTTTACTTCTGAAGGATAAATTACAGCTTGTCAAACAAAGAAAAAGACTTCCTATGGAAGAACTTGATTTTTTAAGATGCTATAAGGTTGGCCATAGAAATTGTTATACTTGAAAACAGGCGCTGATATATCTTATCCAGATTTCTAGGCTGCTGCAAATTTTTAAAACATAGGCAGAGCTGTGATACTAAATGTTCCCTCAGTTTTGGTCCAGAAAAGGAGCATAAATAATACAGAGATGGTGTGTTTTTGAAATTTCAGCATTATAGCCTCTGTTTCTCAAACAAGTGTCCATGATCTGTCCTCGTACAGCAATGAGTTAAAAAATAACATAAGTTTTAAATGTTTTTTTAGATGCCAATAAAACATTATTTGTTTGATAAGCACTCTAGGTATTGTATTTTTTATATACAATCTATAACATTCTGGTTGAATTGTGCTTTAATTGTTGCAAAAGGTTTATAATGCTCTTGTAAAACTAGTGCAACAATTATATATGCTACAAAGGCATATTACTTTCTACTAAAAAATCATGGAATCACATTAGTTTGTGTATAATATATGTATGTAAATATTTGTGTAAAACTGTATGTAGATACCACTGTTTCTGTGTGTGATAGTGCATGCGCACGCACTCACAGAATGTAGACAGTTAAATAAAATGAAATGAATTAGGTTATGCAATTTCATATTTAATCTTCTTTAGATAGAAAGAAAATTGTAGATGCTGATGTGACAGGTTAAACAAATTAATATTTGCTCTTCTAAATTCTTAATTACTTCAGAAGGTGGACTGGCATGCTCTGAAGGCTGAAGAGTAAGATTTAAGGATGCTTTTTAAGTGTGGCAATATATGGTGCAAAAATGAAGCAAATGTTTGAATTGTCATTTTTGTAATGCTTCTGGTGTTTTGGGTAGAAAGTGATATATAAAAATACTTTGTTGTTGATTTGCTTGCTGTGACTATTGAGTTCATAGTTGTTATCTAAAACATATTGAGCCACTTTAAGAACAAAACACTTGCTTATCTCAAATAACTGATCACGTAAGGTTTAGGTTTCAAGATTCTTTAGGCTGCAATCGTATATGCATTTAACTTGGATTAAGCTTCATTGATACCAATATCGAATACTGGCATCTAGATATTTGGAATCTTTTAAACTCTGGGCTAGCTAGTTTGAAATGGCCTCATAAAACTATTTCTGTCCAAACTAATGTTTTTAGGATCTACTCTCTAACAAATTGATAGAATGTAACCATTTATCCTATATTTTTTCTTTTAAAAAGCCTTCAAAATCTAAAGAATATGATAGTTCTAGAATTTATATTGTGCTAAATTAATATTTTATGTAGAAAATGACATTCTTTTATTCAAGAAAAGTTTGAATTTTCAATCATGTGAATTATTCAAGTTCACAAAACTTTGCTTCTATAATAATATGAAATATAGGAAAATCACAGAAATTTCATTAATATTATGAAGTCAATACACTTATTGCAATAAAGTTTGAGAATTACAAACTTACAATTTGGAAAATTACAGTTGCACTACCATTTTTGCTTTTGGTCAACTTAAGTCTTAAATTACTAATGCATCATTGTTGCATACTTCTTGGCAGTCTGCCTGTCAGGATGGATTCACTTTCACTGAATTAATGTTGCCAAATATAACAGCATAAAGAATCAGGATAATAAGTATAATCTAGCCACAATGCCCCAGATTTGTGTTTGCTCACTGAAAATAATGCAACAGTGGAATATAATTGCATTTTTTACTTTGGGACAGTAGCTCTAATAAGATAACTGTGTTTGATTGCATTCTTGATTTTTACAAATGGCCAAAATATGTTATGTGGTTTAAGTTTACATTTGGAATAGCAGTAGCTCCATATCACTATCATATAAAAAGATACCTTGGAACTATGTAAAAGTTGTATCTTTTAAAATTTTAAATAGCATAAAAGTATGTCATACTTTATCTTACCTTTGGACAGAGACTCTCATGAGTAAGACAGGTTTGGCAAAACTAGTTGAGGAAAAAGTAGGATGAGACAAAGGTGCCTCTTAGATAGAAGGGATCTCAAGACAAGGTAATTATGTTCTGTTGGCAGAAAGTTACTGCTACGTGGTATTCCAAATTATGGTAGTAAACATAACAGGTGAGTCAGCGCCATTTTGAGAACTACTGAATTTGTAGCTGTTCCATTTTCCAGTTGAGAAATTGTAATTTACCTCTATTCACCAACATATTGAAAACAGGATCAGCTGTGATTCTTTTGTTTGTTATCAGTGTTTTGCTTATGAAGCTAAAGTCGATAACTTAAGTGAATGAAATTAATAGTCTAATCACTAATTTTTATAATAACCAACTCTTATGGTCTAGTAATTATTTGAGAATATACTCCTCTTGCCCTATATTTTTCTCTTGTTTCCATATATGAAATAAACATTTGTATTATAGAGAAAAACTGTCCTTTTTCAGCAAGGGAGCAGCTAATTGTTATAATTTCTATTTCTATTTTTCAGTGGCATATTGGTTTAACATACAACTTTTAAATGTGTTTTGATAAGTTTATTATAGAAAATAAAGTAAAATATCAAACAAATGAAGTAACTAAAATAGAAATATAATTAGCAAATGAAATTATTATACTCTAATTCAAAAGATTGACAGTCCTATAAAAGCTTCATTAGGCACCATGTTAAATTGATCTCTTCAAAAGAAAATTAAATCATAACCAGAAATTTGCACTATAATTGACACCATACAGAATGCTCATAGCATCTTTGAGAAGCTAATTTGACATTCCCAGAATGTAAACTCATTTAAAAAGAGACTGCTCCCATATAGACATTTAAATGCAAATAATCCAGGTGTCTGATTCCCATATTTCCAGTGGTGCTCATGAAATTATAATTTATCAGGAATGATTTCCATAGATTCTGTAGTTCATGCGAAACGTTAAATACCAATAGTAGTTGCCTTGCTTTATTTTTAAAAATATGAATATTTCCAAAATGCATTTTTTTACTCTAAGACCTTTCAAAAATCACAAGCAAGTGTGACCACAAGTTGATACTAAAATTATAACAGTGATTTTCAGACTTTATACTGGTTATTAATAAGTCTGCGGCACTTCTTTCTTGATGATTTTTTGTTGGTTTTCTAATATGAAAACATGGCTATTTTGCTTATAGTGTAGTCCAGTGCATGTTTGCTCAAGCCTACTTCATTGAGTTAAGTTGAATTTGCATAGGATTGCAGCCTTGAAATGCAATGTAAATTGAGCCATGAAGTTTTTCTTGTCTGTTTTTTAATTAATCTTGCTTATGAAATGCCTTATATGTTTTTGCAAATACTTAAAATTGATTACAGTACCTATAAAAATGAATATGACTGGAAATCATACTTTTAGTGTGTTATACTATATGTTCATAGTTTCTCACATGAGGAAGAACTTATGAGCTTGACAGTTCCTAACATTCCATCCCTAATTTCTGAAAGAAGTTTTCTTTTTGACAATTAGTTTGCTTCTTTCCTTCCATATTATTAGATGTGGTTCCTTCCTTTGATATTTGAATAATCATCTTTCTATAAAATATAAGAATATACAAAAACAAAGTTTACTTCAAAAATGTATGAATTATTTAACAGAATTAATATCAAAAAAAAGATTGATAATAACAGTATATTTCATTTTATATTGTGTAATCTACTACTCTGACACTTGCTCTTACTGTTAGGCTTGCTCTTAACAGTTCCAATAGGTTAATTGTCGTCCAGTTTACAGTCCCAGTGGACAAAACTGAAAAATCAGAATCTGACCATATTAATTTTGTCATATTAGCACTACTACACATTATGCGAAATAGAATCTATTTTGAGATGTGTTTTTTTTTTCTTGGAACAATTGAAATTTCCTCAAAGTATCAGCCTGGAATTCTTTTAGTGTGCTTGAATAATCAACTAATGGTTCCAGAACTACAGTGACAAGGATGTCCATATATACAGTGCATTCAGAAAGTATTCAGACACCCTTCAATTTTATTATGCTGCAGCCTGATTCTACAGTTGTTGAAATTCATTTTTTCTCATCAATCTACAGTCAGTACCCTATAATGGAAAGTGAAAACAGAATTTTAGAAATGTTTGTAAATTTATTAAAAAGAAAAAACTGAAATACAGGTAATCCTCGGGTTATGATAGTTTAAAAATGACCGCAGAGGCGCTGCAACATTCACTCTATTTCCCACCCTCTCTTCCCATAACTGCTTCCCCCTCCCATCCTGTCACATTGGATTCAATTTGCAAAGATCTGTCTCTTCTCTGCTGTGGTTTCTTTGCCTTTGAGGGAGAGGAGAGCAGGATGATTTCCCTTCCAGTATCTGGTCAGCTTGCAAGTGCTTTTTGCTCCAAGAGTGAAATGTTCTGGGGGCCTTGTGTGACTTAAGGCAATCATTCTCTACAAAGTAAATGGGGTCTGAAGTCACGTGAGATCATAGTCCCCAGAACATTTAATTCCCAGCATGCTGATTGGATGCTGGAAGGGAAATTGTCCATCTGCTCAGAAACTGCAGCAAAGAGTAGACAGGTCTTTGCAAGTTAATAAGTCTAGTGTGGCACTGGATTCACTCAGTAATTTGTTGAAGCACCTTTGGCAATAATTAATGGCCTCAAGTCTCTTTGGATATAACACAACAAACTGTACATCTGAATTGGGGGATATTTTGACATTCTTCCTTGCAAATCCTCTC